AGGGGGGAGTGAGCGAGCAGCTGTGTGGTGCTCAGTTGCCAACTGAGGTTAAACGACAACACTTGCTGACAGTGTGCTGCTTTGCCCTATCATTCAGATCATTAGTGAAGATTTTAACCAGCACTGACCCCTAGGGTAGACCACTAGTGACTGGGCTCCAACTGGACTTTACTGCTTGAGCCTGGCAGTTCATCCAGTTTCCAATCCACCTCACTGTCCACTTTTCTAGTCTGTACTTCATCAGTTTGTCAATGAGAATATCAAGGGAGAGAGTGTCAAAAGCCTTGCTGAAATCAAGACGAACCATATCCACTGCTCTCCTCTCATCCACCAAGCTAGTCAATTCATTGTAGAAGGCTATCGGGTTGGTCAGGCATAATTTCCCCTTTGTAAATTCATGCTGACTACTCCCAGCCACCTTCTTGTCTTTAATATGTTTGGAAATCCTAAGCTTGAAAGCTAGAGGAGTGTGGAACCTCGAAGAATCCTACTCAAGATTTTCAAAAATTCCAGGCCTCCAGCTATGGAGATGAGAGCCCATTCCCTATCAAAACCAGAACTTCCAAGATTTCCCAGCCCTATCACCTTGATATGTGCCTGAAACATTTAGTCAGGTAGTTCTAGCAATACATATAATATGCAATATTTGCCCACTGTAATAACCAGAAGCTTCAAACTTGTTGCATTCCTGGAGGTCTAGAGAAGCAGCATGCAGAATACCACAGTGATATCTAAGCTCTGTTGAAGCTTTCTAGCTTGTCTACAGTGACAGAGCTGATCTCGGCATGGTCTAATTTACCCAAACCAGAAGCTAAGACAATACTGGATCTTGTAACAGGTGAGCCACCAAAGCGAACAACTAGCCACTCACTAACCATGCCCTAACAGGACATGGGTTTTGCTCTTAAATAGGAACCATACTCTTTTCTCTGGAAAGTTATTTTTAATCCAAAGGGAAGTCCCTTTCTCTTCATCAGTTTCTGGGCTTTTATGCCTCAGTTCTCAACAAGAAGTCAAGCAAGAGTCCCCCGAATCAGTGCCTATCAGTTTACATTAACCATCTGTGTGCTCATTGTACAGTACTTAAGAGTTCTTCCTTTCTACACTGTTTTTAGATTGAGTTAGTCTAGATAAAGACTAAACCTAGTCTTTACATTAAACTGCTACGAAACCACTGTTACCAGTACAGGAAAAGGTTAAAAACTGGTTCAACAAAGTACTTACAAATTAATGGAATACCTCAATATCATATAATTGCTCTATCAATTTAGGTAACAAGTTGCTGTATGTAAAAGAGTGAAGAGCCCTAAAGAGTTAATATTTAATTTTCAGTCTATTACTTAGATTAGAAAGATGGAACATATTCAGAATTGAACTGCAAATGAAAGAAAAAATTTGTTTATTCCTTATAAAGCCATTTTAAGCCAAAATTAATCTTTGTTTGACTTTGTAATACACACAGCTTTTTATAAAGTTCTCTATTCTAAGAGAAGTAAATAAAGGTAAATAATGCATAATGTAAGTATTCCAGTGAGCAAGATAAAACAACTTGTCTAAGCACATTTTATTCAACATAAAACTTTTCTTAAAGTCATTTCAAACTATAGCACACAAGATTCTTAATTAGACCCAGGAATATGCAAACTGACAGCCACAAGGACAAACACATACCCTTAATAATCGATTCAGCTGCATACAGATCCCGCTTGTAGGTCACCTAAAGGACAGACAAGCCTCATTAGATTTAACACAGCAGGAAGGAATGTAAAACCAATAAAACAATGCCCTGAAGGCAATTCTTTACATTTGAAATACCATAAACAAATGATATTGTCAATTTCTTAATTCTGGTAAAATATCACTGGCAAGTCATGAGAACAGAAGTTGCAGAAATTACCGGAGACTTGAGAGAAACCTTTTTTAAAATATTTAGATCTGCTTAGAAGTCATTTGAAACCTAAAATTATTTTTAACCCTTTGAAGAATCATAAAAACATGATATTGCATCTATTTTCACACATCCATTCTACTCTATAATTTTATCGTGAAATACATTCTTTTTTTTTGTAGGACTTGTGATCATAAAAATGACAGTCAGGGAGAAGCCTCGTTATTTCTTTTACTAATATAGGTACTTTCCAGTAGTGCAAGACTATTACTGTTAATGAGAGTCCAATTAATCAGTGGGAGTCGGTGAGACTATAGTAACTTTCAGAGGATTAAAAGCCATCAAGATCTTCCTGAAGACATTAATCAGATCAAGTTAGATGGACAATAAGATGCTGAATATTTACTTGGTACTTGCAAAAAACAGCTTTCATAGCTGCCTTTGTAGCCTCATGGTGGTTGACAGTCCCAATATTAGGCTTTTCAAATAAAATAACAAAAAACTGAAGACAGCATCTAACCAAGACATTAACAGTCTTTACTAGCAATGTCTTCGCAATGACATGCAGTGACATGAACTGATATAAGAATAACTTCTAAATATTTGCCTTTGTTTTTACTGTAACTTCCTTTTATGTTAAATAAAATATTACTGATTTTCTGCATTTGTTTCTCTAGAGTCTGAATAATTTTTCTCTTTCTTTTTGAAATGGACTGAATAGGATTCCAAAAGCTTTAGTGCTGTGAAGTAAATCTTACAGCAAAAACACACCATTGTAGATATCAGATTTTAACATAAGGATTCTTGTAACTTCTTTCCTTTCCATCTCAAATTAAGCTGTGTATTATAGTCAGAAACAGATGAAAAATATTACCTTTCTCATTACTCATCATTTCTCCAAGGAATTATATTCTTTTAAAATTAAAAATTAACTTACTCCCCTACAGCTTGTCCTGCAGGAGAAGCAGCCAGAGAATGAATCTAGCCTAAGAAACCTTAAGTGTCTGAGTTTACATACTGTTGGGAAGAATCAGTGTCTTGAATTTAAAGGTTAAAGAATTATTGAGTGACCAATTTTGTTGCAAGGTTTCTTTCTAATTACCTGTTTCTAGAGGGCTTTCATACTGAACTTTCAGTAAACCTGTAACAGATTACCATCTAAAGACCTTTCAAGAAACAAGACTATCTAAGCTCTGTCAAAAGTGGTCTCAGTTACTCTAAGGTTCACAATCTCCTTGAGATGCAAAAGTATTTAAATAGTCCAAGTTTAAAAAGAACTTACTTCATAAAGTAGGCCCAGTCTTCAAGAAAACAGCACAGAAGAATAAAAAATTAAGTACGAACCTTTAAAATCACTTCTAAAATTCTGAGCCAGACATCAGCAAATACTTTTTAGGGTGGTTTCCTAGAGAAATAAATCATTTGAGACCATATCACACTATCCATATATATTTCCTTCATAATCTTTGATCCTATAAGCTAATTTCAGATACAAGCTCCTATAAGCTTTATGAAAATAGTAAAGTTGACAGAGAGAAAAACCCTGCCAGCTACCACAGGTGACCACCGCTTACCAGTTGGGGGGGGGAGGGATTTTCTACACCTCTTTCAGTGTTGAATGAGATGCTAAATCCAACCAAAGTTTCTCTTAAGGAATGGATATGCATAATGTCTCTGGATTTTCTTGTATTGATTAAGAGGTGTTCTTGCAATTTAGATGAGACTTACTTAAAACGCAGGCAACCATGACAGAGACACCCTTTGGTTTAATTCTAACCATTGATTGGTTTAGTATGAATTTGTTTTAAACAACTTTTAAGGCTAGTCAACACAACAGCTTATTGTTCTGAGCAGCTATACTGCTTTATCTCTAGTACACCAAAGTGAATTTGCATTCTAGGCTCACACCAGCCAGCAGCAATTCAGATCTAGCCAAATCAACCAGGAAGAATACTTTAACTGCCACTCTATACCAGAAAGTAAGATGGTACTCTCCACTCTTGCAGCCCAGATGAGGAGCAAAAATCACAGTGGAAAAAGAATAAACAAGAAAAGTGACACACAGGAATATTCTCTCACTTTGCAGAAGAGAGACCTTCTACCTCATCCATTTCTGTTTTTTTTATATCACATTACTAAGCTAAATCTCTACAGACTTATCAAATTGCCATTTAATTCTCTTTTTCGTGCTTTTCTCTGAACCTCCTCCATTCATCAACAGTTGCACAGAGCTTGAGTCCAGATTTGACCGTAGTATTCTAGATGCACTTGTAGTACTAGAACATCTCTTTTCTAATTTCATATTCTTGTTTCTATATCCATGGCTGACAAGGTTATTTTGCCCACAGTGGAAACTTGCTGTCCTCTGTGATTCCTACACCACTTTCAAAGTCACTGCCTTCCTAGAACAATTCTTTAAATATGGCCTATACTTTTTTGTTTTTAAAAACACTTCTTTATATTTGGCCACAATGAAAAGCATACCTTTTGTTTAAATTGTTTGCCAAGCAATCCATATCAATAGGTTACTTCTGATCAATTATATTTTTTATTTAAAAATCCTTAAATCTTTGTGTTGTCTGCAAACTTTATCAGACAAATGTTAAATAGCTTAGAGACAATAACAGTTTCTGCAGAACTGTACCTGGTGAGAATTCTCTTTTGAAATATATCACTCATCCAATTTTTAATCTATTTAATGAGGACTAGTACAATTACAGTCATCCTATTTTTAATTAAGATGCCATGTAGTAACAAGTCAAACTTCTGCCAACCATATATTGTATCAGCACTACCATCTTTACCAGCCAAGACTACAATCTTATAAAAAAAGGTTTGAAGTCAATTTCACAAAATAAGTAAATTCCATGTTGGTTGACATTAGTTACATTAGTCCCTTAACTCTTTATTAATCAAGTTCTGCTTGTAGCAGTGCATCCTTTTGTTTTGTTGGTTAATATCGAACTCACAGGCTTCTAATCACTCTCTTCATATGACAACACTAATTTTCATTTTGTCCTCTTGAGCATCTAGTGTTCCAAGATTTTCTGAACATTGTTGCTGCAGTCCAGAATATCGCTAGGCCAAATACTAAAACTCAACACAAACACCTCACTATCACAGAACATGAAACCATCATCTGGTTATTTGGCAAAGGCAGAATAGTCTGACTTACTAAACATTTCTCTACTTTTCTGTACAGCAAGCTATCTACTATATCTATTTAGTAAAGTCTAAAAATCATCTGACAAGGGTTTATTTGTTTTCCTGTGTGCCCTTCTCTCTCAACTGTCAGACTGCAACTTCTCACTACCTAGGAAGATGCTTTTAGAAGTTCCCCAAAGTTGTTCCCATTTAATGTTTAAAAGTCTTCTTCAAACTGATTTAGCTTGATGAACATTTCAGATTTACAAAACTGTATGTTAAATGCAAAATATAAAACTCTTTACCAAACACAATAAAGTTATGATCACGCATATACAAAATGCACTACATTTTAGTTTCATGAAGTATTTCCTTCTGTTATACTAAGGTATCATACAGATCTCCTTTGTATGGGATATTTTTTCAGGATTAGAAAATAACCTGTTGTTTTTAGAAATGGTGAGGATTTTTCACACTATCAGCGTTGTCTTTAAAAATGTATCAATCTTAAAAGTGTTCTTACAATGCAGTTTTCATCTGCATTACACACACACGTATACATTAGACTCCAACAATTACATTCTGTTACATGATTTTATACTTTATTTAAGAGGATATTGCCCCAGAACATTTAAGGTCATTTGGTTTCAAAGGTGTCAAGCACAAAGAAACTGAAAATGTGGTGTTGATAGTGTCATTCTGTTTCCTTTATGGCAGCCGGATCCTAAATATCTTATAAATAGTAATATAATAACTACATTTATAATAGAACTTATAAATATTTATAACACTGAAGTAATTTGAATGTTCCTGCCTGGTTGTTGCCACTACAAACAACCACCTTAATTTTGTATTTTGTTACCAGAAAGTAAGCAAACTCTCTCTTGCTTTAGCTCCAATGGTAAGTGACTTCGAAACGTTACTTTTTCTAATGCACTGTAAGTAGACAGCGCTCAGGTAGAATAATCAGAGTTAATTCAAGAAAACGATATATATGCACACATAAGTAACTTTTTCCCACTGCTTTGAGTCATTTAATGTTATGTAGGTTGTGCACCTAATAAATAAACTGAATTCTTACAAATATCAGATTACTCGTCAAAGATTCAAGGATGAAACTGGTTTGTAATACTTGGACTTTAGAAACTGTTCTCCACTTGTTAATTGATTGCAGTTTTTCTGTTAGACATCCTCTGAAACCTCAACTGAACAATGATTATTTATTTCAGTTCTCATTTATCCGGATAGAATATCTTTTTCTCTCTTGTTGAAAAAATAAGACTGGGGCCATTGGGAGCACATCAGTTCCTGGCACACGAAATGTAATTTATCTCAGCATTGAAAAGCCTTACAGAAAAAAACCAAGAACATATTACAAATCACATTATTAGGACAGCTAATAATGTAATTATTAGCTGTAATTATCTTTTTGCTTCTGAAAGCTGCAAAAAGCAGCAGTAACAAACAGCAATAGCTCCTAACCATTTTGTAGGCAAGCATCACTTGAGAAAATTGGCAGTCTTCTGCACTTCATCAAACTGCACAGACTGAGCATGAGTGCTCTCTTCAATGGTACTGCTCCAGGTCACCTGCCAAACACCCCGATACAGAGAGTGACCAATACCAGGGTGCTATTCAAGCAGAAAGGAGCTGTCTTCCTCCGTAGCCTCTAATCTGATATGACTACTTGCTGCAGAAGCAATTTACTACTTTACAGACCTCGTCATTTTTATGCCTTTGAATGTCTTCACAAACCACAGAAGACACCAATGACTTCTAGCTACAAAATAAGACAGCAAATAGGATATGAGAAGGTATAGGAACTTTAATGACATGGCACCAGCATCTTTGTGTATACTATATATAGCATATTCACTGCTCTGCACTGCCTGCAGCACAGTATCTGCACATAAACAGGTGTTGTTGCTACCGTCCCACACAGCACAATATTGTCAACACTGAAACTCTGTGGTGGGTTGACCCTGGCTGGATGTCAGGTCAGCAGCCCATCAAAGCTGCTCTATCACTCCCCCTCCTCAGCTGGGCAGGGGACAGAAAATAAAACAAAAGGCTCATGGGTTGAGATAAGGACAGGGAGAGATTATTCACCAATTACCATCACAGGCAAAACAGACTTAACTCAGGGAAATTAATTTAATTTATTGCCAATCAAAATCAGAGTAGGGTAATGAGAAATAAAACCAAATCTTAAAACACCTTCCCCCCCACCCCTCTCCTCTTCCCTGGCTCAACTTCATTCCCGATTTCTCTACCTCCTCTCCTGAGCAGTGCAGGGGGACGAGGAATGGGGGTTGCAGTCAGTTCATCACACGTTGTTTCTGCCACCCCTTCCTCCTCACACTCTTCCCCTACTCCAGCATGGGGTCCCTCCCATGGGACAGTCCTCCATGAACTTCAACATGAGTCCTTCTCACAGGCTGCAGTTCTTCACAAACTGCTCCACGGGGTGCAGTCCTTCAGGAACAGACTGCTTGAGCATAGGTCCAAAGTCTTGCCAGCAAACCTGCTCCAGTGAGGGCTCCTCTCCACAGTGTCACAGCCTCCTTTGGGCACATCCACCTGCTCCGGCATAGGGTCCTCCACGGGCTGCAGGTAGATATCTGCTCCACTGTTAACCTCCATGGGCTGCAGGGGGACAGCCTGCCTCACCACGGTCTTCACCACAGGCTGCAGGGGAATCTCTGCTCTGGTGCCTGGAGCACCTCCTCCCCCTCCTTCTTCACTGACCTTGGTGTCTGCATACTTGTTTCTCTCACATATTCTCACTCCTCTCTCTGCAGCTGTTGTCCAGAGGTTTTTTTTTCTTCTTCCTCCTTAAATATGTTATCATAGAGGCGCTACCACTATCACTGATTGGCTCAGCCTTGGCCAGCAGTGGGTCCATCTTGGAGCCAGCTGGCATTGGCTTCTAGCAGCTTCTCAAAGAAGCCACCCCTGTAGCCCTCTCTGCTACCAAAACCTTGCCACACAAACCAAATGGACTCTTTCACCTGGTACACAGTGTTTTCAGCTTTTCTACCTGAATCTCCTTCTCCATGATATTATCCGGTATACCACCAGCTAAAAAAGTTCTCTGTCCAATATCTGAGCACCTACAAGGAATTGACTCTTCATGTGTTATCATTTTCCATGTGTTTACAGGCCTCTTTAAAGGCCAGTGGTACTGCAATGGGTCCCACAGGCTAGAAAGTTAACAGCATCAGGATTTCATTTCACCAACAATGTTGGAGCGGCACTAACATTTCAACAGTTCTCTTTTAAAACAGCTCAAGTTTGAAGTATAAGTGGGGGCTGGTTACTAGTGCTGTTCTTCGGGGGCTGATACTGGGGACAATACTGTCTAATATCTCTATTAATAACCTGGGAAAGGGGAAATACCCTCAGCAAACTAGATGACAACAAATGTAAGTATTCAATATGCTCAAGGGTGCAACACTCATTTAGAGGGATCCTGAAAAGCTGGAGAAAGGGGCTAACAGAAACGTTGTGAAATATAACAAACACAAATACAGCATCCTGCATCTGGGACAGAATAACCCGGTGCAGCAGTCCATACTGATACCAAAATATAGAAAACAGCTTTGCAGAAAAGGACCTTCTGGACAAGCTGAGCACGAGTCAGCAGTGCGTAGCAGTGCAGAAGAGGAGTCCAACTGACTGGGCTGTATTAGTACGGAAGTAGACTCCATTACAGGGAATACAGGGCTTATTCCCCTGTATTCGGCACTTTTGAGAACACACCAGAGGACTGTTTTCTAGTTTTGGGCTCCCCAGTATAACGCAATGAGGACAGGAGAAAGCCCAGCAGAGGGCTGCTGAGACGGTGCGAGAACTTGGTTTGTTCAGCCCAAATAACAGAAGATGAAGGGTGGGGAAGGGTCATAATTAATGGCCATAAAGAGTGAACTGGACTTTTCTTGCAGGTCTTTCTGTTGGCCTTTCATCCTTTCCAGTGCAACAGGCAGCAAGGGAAATGCTCACCAAATATTATGAAAAAAGTCTCTTCCATACGGGGAGATATGCATTGGAATTGTTTTCCCCAGAGAGCCTGTGAAATCTCCATTCTTGGAGATACTCAAAACTCAACTGGACAAGGCCCTGCACAGCCTAATTTAACTGGCCCCACTTTCAGCAAGGTGTTGGACCAGATGACATCTAGATATTTCCTTCCGGCTTAATTATTCTGTCATTCCAGGTCAAAAGACTACATTTCATCTGCTGGGCATCAGTAGTATCTACAGATAGTAAAGAACTAAATAAACATTATAAAGAACTAAACGAACATTATGGGTGTATTTTGTTACTCTTCATGTAAGTACCATGCTTTGCAATAAGAACAATGAAACCATCCAAAAAGTGATGTAATGCAAATATGCATAACATAATCTGTCCCTTAGAAGGCTGAATAGGAAAACAGACAACACATTGTTTCAGAAAGACTATGTCCCCAGAAAGATATTGAAAGAAGTTGCTGTATGCAACCAACACAAGTAAATTTTGCTGCTAAATTGCACAGGAAATTTGTGCTGCAGATTCAGGAAATTACCTTTCTGTGTAAGATTTATTGTCGTATTATTAGAAATCGTGTCCCATTGGAGGAAATTTACTGTCAAAAGACAGATGGAGTGACTTGAGCTGCTTCCAGATCCTTCAATGTGGTAATGAATAAAATAAAAAAAAAAAAGAGGAAACACTTAAAAATTGCATGACATGACAGTTACTGAGAAAGAATAATGTACCACCATCCAATGGGTGGTGGTATCCCAATCCCAATGAAATGGGATACTTTTAAGCAGCAAGGACATATCCTTTGGCACCTGTACACACCTGCTTTGTCAGTCGTCAAGAACCTACAGATTATTAGACAAGGTGAATGATGTTTGAAAATTTTAAAAGATTGTTTGAAGATGTCTTAAACATTGCAGTGTTACTGAATGTAATGAACGGCTCTAAAAATCAAAAACTGTTGTTAGCCAGGTATTTGGCGTCAGAGAAAAAGTGATGTCCTCATAGAAAAAGTGGAGGAAAATAGACAAGAGATATAGAAATAGCAGGAGAAAGCTCATCTCAAAGAAAGTTCTTAGTTTTAGAGATTATGGATTTATAGTTTTACAGTTTCTCAGGTTATTCAAGTACCTAGTTAGTTTTCCTACTTCCAGATAAATACTGTCTTCATTGGTTATCTTAGGTAACATCTGTCCAAGTCTGTCTACAACAATGAGCTCTAAAAAAAGCTCTTGATAATCCCAAAACAATTCTGAAATTTGGAAGAGAAAAACCTAACTATTACAACTGAAAACACATCTGAATTTTTACAGTAGTATGCAAATTTTATTAATTTTAAAAGACATGTAAAAAATAGAGATTATTATTGCCTTTACCTTCCAGAGGTCAGCTGTTCCTTCAACAAGTTTGGCACTTGTGTTACAGTATTTCAGAGCCAGATGCAAACATTCAGTTCCATAATCCAGGTCATAGTCTGTACACTGTAGTAATTAAAAAAGTATTCTTAATTAGTCACAAAGAAATCATACTTTTAAGCAACAACAGATTTTCTTTCATTGATTAAACCTTACATCTCAACGGTCCTGTCCAGAATAATACATGTTGTATTAGGTAGGTAGGTTCAGAATGGATCAGAAATAAAACCCTTCCAAAAGCTTCTGCCAAATTCTAGCTACCCAGCAAAGCGTTAAAGAAGTAAATAAACACTTTATATCTACAAATTAATTCAGTTAGGTGCTGCGAGTATCTTGCTACACCTTTATGTCGTTAACTAAATCAATGAGAAGTTACATGTATAAAAAAAATTTTTGTTGGAGTTGAGGCCTCACCAAAAGAAATCATCAACCTTCTAGTGACAAACTTTTAGAGTATGGGAACAAGTTAAGAAATTGTAGAAGCATGACTCTTCAAATGCCTTGTCTGTTTTGGTTTTTGCAGCATCAAAAAAGGATGGTAGTAACTAAGAACCTCTGTATTCCTTACATGTTTCCTTTTATATTTTTCTCCAGTTATCTGCATACAAAATAGCAGTTTCATGCTGCTCCATGAACATTCCAGATTAAAAAAAAAAAATCAACAAAAACCCGAAAAAGCTTGTCCACTTTTTATTCATCTAGAAGAGGCATTCTTCTCTCAACATACCCTTCCCAAGCAGTTTGGCCTCCTATAGTTAGTGATTATAAGAATCATATTAATGGAAAACTGAGTAGGGAGCAGAATCTCTCGAGCCAAAACACAGGTAGGTACAAAAGCAGGAACTGGGAGCTTATCAGACAGGACTACCTCAAGATGAATTGGCCTGATTAAGATAAGAAAGTTCTAGTCTATTTTCATATTGCTAAATTACCAATCCATCCAGAAACATGAATTACATGTAAGAAGGAAGGCTAATTTAAGATAGCAAAAATATACATTTTTATGAATGACCCTAAGACCACAGTCTGGCTACCGCAGTATCCAGTCTCTAGTAGAGGTTGACAGTGGATAGTCAAGGATAAGTAAATAAGAACAAGTCAACCGTATCTTCTTACTTTCTGAGAATACTCCCTTGGCCTCATACAAAGCTATTATCCCAGCTTAGGAAATCCCTAAATTAAGGAGTCCCCAAGGGACACATTGAACCAGAAATGACTGCCTTAACAGTCCTCAGTGAATTACAGGAATCCTGAATTCACCCAATTACTTTTTTAATAGCAGTATTATTTTTTTTTAGCACCTGCATCAGGGAGCATCTGATTCATCATGTGCTCTGTTATTCTGACACAAAAGGGAGTGCAAAACCACCTTCTCAGCCCTTCAAAATGCTCCACCACATCTCTTCCCTCATCTTTCCACAGGTAAAGAGATCAATATCTATTCAGTCATTTCATGTGTGGAGGCTACTTCAAAACTTTCATCAACCCTTTTGCCTTCCTTTACATTTATTTACACTCACCTATCAATTTTATCATAACATCCTTCCACAAACCTTCTTAGTCAGCCCTCATCTCTACTACCCAGTAAAAAAAAAAAAAAGGGTATCTCCACTTCCTGCTCCAAATAATTTATGACAAAATGAACTGCACAGGTCCCAGCACAGATCTTCACAAAACTGCACTGGTGATTTACTGCTATGAAAACTGGTCATGCACTTTACCTTGTTTCTTATCTTCTAACAAATAATCTACTTCGGTAAGTCTTTACTCTTATCCCGAATCTGTTCAGGTTCCTTAAAAAAACCTTTGGTAAAAGTTTCAGTGAAACATCTTATTATACAAATAGGCTGTTATCAGCTTCAGCAACCTCAAACAAGATGCCAGTTAACTCTGTAAAAAAAGACAATTAGCTCTGCAATGCGTAAGCTTTCCTTTACAAAAGCTGAAATAACCCTTCCACTGTGTCAAGTTTATCTGTGTGTCTATAAATTCATGTTTCAAATAAAATGCGACAGTCCAGATACTGTGCTCAGTAACTCAGTCTTCTCCAGGATTCAAGAATTCAAAATTGTCAAGAATGCAAAAGTCTAAGTGGTTAAAGAAGATCCAAATGAGTGCTGCAATACAACTTGACTTCTTATAATTTCCTCAAGAAGTTTAATAAAAAAGATGAAGAAAATTTTTAGTTTCTATTCTTGTTTTATAATGCATCAGTGAAATTCAAGGAATTCATCAGCATTATATATCTGAATTGTATTACTAACACACACAGATGTCTTAAAATCATAGTTATCACTTCTATATTATTTAAATTAGTAATTTTTGTCATTTTAGTTTGTCATGACTGCGATCAAAAAGAAGATCCTTTTACACAGCCCACTTAGAAAAGTAATTTAAGTGTTAAACTTCTCCACAGAAGTTTTTAAGTGCTTTGACTAACAAAATGACAGACTTCTTTCAGAATACTAAAAGAAAAAAGGGGTTTCAAAAAGACACTTCAGAATATTTTTAAATTAAGCAGAAATTATTTATATTCTTTAATTAATCAAGATACAAAAAAGGTCAACAGAAAATATAAAGGAATAGGGAACTCTAGCTCCAAAGTATGGAAAAATTGAGTGATCTCTTGAGTAAAGAGGTCCAGAGATAAATTGCCAATGAAGCCAGAAGTGGCCTAGTAACTTTCAATTCCAAATATTTACTACCAAAATGTTTCCTTTTTTTGTTTTGAAGGAAAATTTTCTGGTAGAATGCAAACTATTTTCTACTAATGTAAATAACATACAGATCAAAAAAAACCCATGTTTTTCATTTTGCCTCAGAATGAAAAAGGAATTTCAGGAAAATTTATGTGAAAAAATTTACTTTGAATTAAAATTAAGTTACATTTTTAAATATATGGGTAACAAATGATACTAGGACAAGACTAAGCAATTCCAACTTTTTAGCAAAGCAGTAATTACAGATAATTAGCAGGGAGTGGAGAAGTTCCATAAACGGGCTAAAGCATCTTGAGGGTATTGCTGGCTTCAAGGGATGAAATATGACACAAAGCAAAGTATTAATTAAAAACGTATTTCACTAACACTTGTACATCATGACATTTACCGCTCATTATCTGTAATTGTTTAAACCTAAACATATTGTCACAGTGTACTCTTCTGCAAGTCTGATACTTCCATTTCATTGTTCTCCTCTGACATCAATGTATCAGCTCAAGACCAGCTTAGTTTATATATTATCCATACACTAAACAGCTCCACAAGTGAAATTTTAAATCCATATTTAAGGTGCAGAATTTGAAAGCTTCTGTATTGCTCTAAGAAATTGAGTTAAATTAAGCACTATCAGGGAGTGCCTATAATAAAAAAGTTGTAGAATATCTATGAGGAAAACTTACTGACCCAGGCATGCAAACATTCTCATCCTAATTCTTCTGCATATATTTCACTGCACATCTAGAGCCAGTTTGCATTACCACAATCTGTTTAAAATTCTTACTATTTCTGAAGTCTCTTTTTGACTGAAAGGCTTTTTAAACAAAGTTTGACAGAGTACAGTTAACTGAACTTGACATGCACACATAGCTTTGTGAAACAATAGACAGTTTCAGATTTGAAATGGTGGAAACAGCTGGAAATATTGGCACAAAACATATCCACAAAAGAAAGAAAACAGATTAGTTTAGCTCTTTAAATGACACAGAAGGAAATAGGTTATTTAAAAATGCTTTTGAACTGTTGAATATTCAAAGGCATTCTAATAGGTAGTTTTGGGGACTGACTTTTTTGTGGGTGGTTTTTTGTTTGTTTTCCAAGAGGAGATGTTTGAATAAAGTGTTATGGGTGGAGTGAGATCCAGGTTTTAGCATGACACCAACTCTTCTTCCCCTGCCCCCTAGATCAGTTTGAAAATATTTTGATAAATAATATTTCTTCCTAAAATGCAAGCTATACTGTTGTTGCTTAGCCGTAAACATAGAACAAAGGGTTAGAGAAAAGAGCAGCTATGCAGCCTGTATCTCCTTAGTACTTACTAATAGTCCATAAGCTAACTTGTTTCCAATATAATACTTTGAACAAGTAAAATTATAAAGAAGCAGTATTTAACATTAACAATTGCTTTTACTGTTAACATGCACTATTTTACTGTATGATTATACAGAAAAAAGATTTTGAATGGATATATGGGAACCAGTAACCATACAGCAGAACCAACACATACAAGAAAGATTTTCGTTACAGCACTGTTTTTTTTTTTCCAATCATTCCTTAGTTTTGTAATAAGGAAACAAAGTCAATATTCTTTACGCATTAACTGAAAGAAAATCTTCAGATTTGCTCCTTTACACAGGTACCTTTAAAGCCTATACAGAGCCAGTCTTTTACACTTCTGTAACCATTGGCTGTGTCATCTTTAGTACTTTTTCCATTGTCAGCAGCAAGTGTCTCCATTTAACTTGCCCATGTACATCCATTCTATAACAATATCAGAACACTTGCAATTAAAATGCATAACTAATTAACAATAGCAGAGCTTTATGATTTTTCCAGATCCTTGCAAATCAACTTTCCACTGCTGAAGTGCCAGAGTACATCATGAACATTCATCATCAGGAACATTTTACTAAGTTAAAAAAGAAGCAGACACAAGCTCTTGCTCAACCTGAATTGGCCTATTTTTATCGTATTTTTATAAAGAATTTTTTTTTGCCATGTTCATTACCAAGGAAACCAAAAATGCTGAATCCAACAGTGGATTTGCAGCAAACACTCAGCCCACAGCAATATACCACAGCTAAATGAGAAATAACAGAAGCAGCAAACAGAAGGAGGAAACACGTGAATGAGGAAACTGGGATTAATGTGAGTTCAGATAAGCTCATCTCTGAAACAATTTCTACTGTAGTTAATTATTAAAACTGCTGTGACATACATCCAGATGCAGTAGTGCTTCACAGTGAAGAGAATAAAGATACAGCAATTTACTCTGTAACAGAATTAAGCAAGGCTGTTTTTCTACAGATCTGTATCTATATCCCAATGCCTTTCACTGCAGTAACTGCA